CTTCTTAATCATGCCCATTCTCCACATGTCAGTCTGCGTTTCCTTCACTTTCTTCTTAACCGATAGTTCTTTTTGGTTTGGCCACCTGCTGTTTCTAAGTATTTACCAGTCAACTTCCTGGTTCGCTTCCTCCATTTTGTATCGACATTCTTCATGTACAAGTAGCTGAAAACCTTCCTAGCCCAACGCTCTTCCCCCATTTCTCTCAATCGCTTCTCAAATTTTATCTTGCTGCTAGCTTCCCTGCCCTCAAATGATGTCCATCTCATATCACCTTGTACACCCTGATTTGGTGTATTCCCGTGAGCTCCTAAAGCAAGCCTACCTATTCCACGTTGCTTAATTTCTAATCTTGCTGGAACTTCTGATCTCATGCACAAGACCGCATTGCCGAACGTCAGCCCAGGAACCATGACCCCTTTCCATATTCCTCTCACAACATTGTACCTATTGTAATTCCACAGTGCCCTATTTTTCATGACTGCTGCATTCCTGTTACCTTTAGTCGTCACGTATATTTCGTGTTCCCTCAGATACGCGATCCCCACTTCCGCGCACGTGAGAGCCCTCTGGTGTGGTGCGTCACAACGTACCTATATTGCTGACTAGCATAGCTCTGGGCCAAATGAGGAACGCATGCGCGTACTTGTCCTTGCCGCCACCGCAGCCAAATCCGGCGACAAACCAAACCTTCACTGGCAATGTCTATCCGCATAGGTCGGCCGCGTCCAAACTCGGGCTTGGTTCTAAGCTTATGCTGGGAACGCTGTCCGCACGTCCAAAACGCGTGCATTGAATGCTATGTGCACGGTTCATTTCCCTCGCACTTAGTGTAGTATCTGTTTTGACGCGAAAAACTTGCTGTCTCATCAAACGCGAAACATGACCGGTGGCGGCGGCGTCCGCATGAAGCAAAGTAGAAACCATTATGATGGTGTTCTCGTGACGTCACGAAATGGTCAACATTGGTGCCGTCATATGACGTCATAAGACGTCATAAGACGTGATGTCATGTGGTATAATATGGTGGCGCCATGAATGCAATCTACTTAGGAGAAAAGCTCGAAGAGCACGGCTTTCGCCTTCGAGTCAGCCCTTATGTGGGCGCATACATGCGGCTTCACGTGCGCATTCCGATCGAGTATGTCTGAAAATTTTTGAAATAAGAAATAAAAGAAGGCAATCACAATTGTGAAGGGAAAAGTAATCCGACTGCAGTCGAAATTCTTTCTGTTGGGGCCACTATACACTGGGACACAGCCACAGAAGAGGCACAATTTTCTTTCTTTTTTTTTTTTGGCGGGAGAGGAGCGGGGGGGGGGGGGGGGGCTCTTTCTGATTCGAAGTGGGGGCCGGCCAGGCATTTTGCACTCCGTATGCCTCAGCTAGGTACCATAGCGAAAAAAAAAGATATCGGGGGAGGAAAGGGATGAGGATGGCACGTGCTCGGTGTACGTACTAGTTGCTGGTTGCGCCACTAAGCCACAAAGATGTCTTGTTCGCCATTTAGGAATTAATCATGTGAGTCCGAACAAAAAGTACCTAGCTGTATTTTGTCTCTGATTTAAATATTTCATTACCTATAATCGGTACTTCAAGAAATTACATTACTTAGCTATATATTTCACGAATCATGTGTACACTACAAAAAATTGTTAGGAAATATTCACCCATTACTCGGTCACTCAGAGGAAAACAATCATTTCTGTTGGAAGGAGATACCGTATGGTTAATCATCATCACTATGTCTACTGTAAAAAGATCTTCTAACAATGCCCCATTTACACCATGTTGCGCGATGTGATTCCATTTTATTTCTGCGAAGTTCTTAACATCGTCGTTCATCCTATGAAAATGTCTCATTAGGCTCACAGATGAGCAAAAATGTAATTGCTTTCACGACAATGGTTGCAGTAATTTAAATCACTCAAGACTGATTATTTCATGATCTGAGTTCGCGCTTGGACCAGTTTAATGAATTATAGGTGCGAATTTGGTAAAATATGTCACAGCTTATACATGAAAAGAAGCCACAGTAAAACTGCAGTGCTAAAAACTTCTTTCAACATGGCAAGCGTACAGCTTTCTTGTAAGAGTAAAAAACAAGAAAGCGAAGATTGGATCAAAACGTTATTGCGCACACATCGTGTTTCACGTTTGCGTTATACCGGTTCTGGAAACGATCTGTCGACCAATAAGAAAGTGATAAAGAACGCTTCCAATGATCTTATAAGAACACGACAAAAAAAAGAAAAATAAAATCGAATATGAGAAAGTTAGTATTGTTCGACTGTCACACAAGTCCCGTTAATTAGGGAGGCGATCGCCGGGCTAATTCGAAGGGCCGAGGTATCGGCCCCCCGAACCGCACCACGAAAGCGTGGACAATTTAGAAGTGGTCCTTCTTGGCGCGCCAGCGTACGCCGGCTGTGGCCCAAAGAACAAGTCAGAGCCGAGAGTTGATAATCAAAACAAAATTATATTCTCAATAATGGCACATCAAAAACAATACACAAGTATGCACACTCCACAATAGTTGAATACAATATGTCACCAATACAACAACGTACTACACAGTACAATCAGCCACACTCGAAACAACGGACACAGACAACAATACACACTACAATGCAGTCGCATGCATTGAACAACCAAGACACTTTAAGACTAAAGAGATAGAAAACCTATTCAGTCCAAAGTCCTTGGAACAAAAGTCTGAATGATACTCTACCGAGAATCACTCACTCAAAGTCCAGCGTTGTTGTCGTTCCACTGCCCCCTGAAGTTTCTCTTCCAGGAAACCTCGCGTCTTCAAATGGCCACTCTTCAAACTTCAACTTCTTCGCCGGAACACGTCGGCTTCACACACGCAGCTGTTGCCATGCGTCTTCGCTCGGTAGCGGTAAACACACGCTCTTGCCTGTAGCTCGAGCCTTCACCCCTCTGGTGGAAATCCTCTCCTTCTCCTGCTTTGTCTCTACAGACAAAACCTTCGCCGACTACACGGCGGAATCCCTACGCGCTCTGGCGCTAACTTCCGTCTTCTCCTGATCTCTCATCTCCGCTGCTCGATTAAATACCATCCGCACGACATTCCAGAAGGTTCTCGTCATTTCGTCGGCGCGATACGCAGCGAAGGCTGGGGAGAGGCGCGAGACTGTATGAGGGCCGTCCCCGACCGATGACTCAACTCGGTATGACCACGCCTATTTCCTTCTGGAACTTTCCAGTGCTTGCCCGGCCGCCGCTGTGGGGTGAGGAGGTTCATCGGCGAAGCCACGCTTCCGAGGGGAGAGCGTCGCGCGCCCGGGGAGCCTCTAGATGTTTGTTTTCTTTTTTTTTTCGTTGACCTCGCGGAGTCACTCCGGCGCGTTATCGTCGCGACAATTTGGTGGCGCGCCCATTTTTAGCGCTCGTTCTGTGACATCGACTTATCATGATTGATATGTGGGGTTTAACGTCCCAAAACCACTATATGATTATGAGAGACGCCGTAGTGGAGGGCTCCGGAAATTTCGACCACCTGGGGTTCTTTAACGTGCACCCAAATCTGAGCACACGGGCCTACAACATTTCCGCCTCCATCGGAAATGCAGCCGCCGCAGCCGGGATTGGTTCGACTTATCATGCACGATAATTATGATGCGTCTATTCAAGTATGACACCAAGCAAGCTGTTGGCTTTTCTTCGCGCTTCGAATTAATATGAAACAAAACAACTTTCACTGACATTGCTCCAAAGAGGGGAATGAAGTATCTCAATAAGCCTGATGATATCACGACGAAGTGCTGCGCAGGTGGAAGCTGTCGATATCATGTTGGTATAGAGTCACGAGCGAAAATTAATAAAAAGTGACATAGATGCAAAAAAGAATTGTAATTGTATGGAACGTGCGCTACACAGCCTTCCACGGTCTTTTTTTTTTACCTTTGCACGAAGAAATAAAGCTTGAATGTTCTCGCAGAAAAAAAAGACAAATTTAGAGCTTAGAATCGAAGACAAAATTAAAAATCTAAAAACTGTCCACAAGAATGCATTCGTATCTATCCACAACGCTGGCACGTTTTCGAAGCCTAGTCCCGGTTCGGGACTAGGCCTTCACCCCTCTCGCCTAGGCCCACATCAGACCCATCTAGGTCCTTCTATGATAGGCTGCCCACGTATTTACAAGAATAGACACTCGCGGAAGGGTTATTTCCGGCAATGTGGTGAACATTTGATTGATATCTGGGGTTTAACGTCCCAAAACCACTATATGATTATGAAAGACGCCGTAGTGGAGGGCTCCGGAAATTTAGACCACCTGGGGTTTTTTAACGTGCACCCAAATCTGAGCACACGGGCCTACGACATTTCCGCCTCCATCGGAAATGCAGCCGCCGCAGCCGGGATTCGAACCCGCGCCCTGCGGGTCAGTAGCCGAGTACCTTAGCCCCTAGACCACCGCGGCGGGGCAATGTGGTGAAAATTTAGGCTTATTGGAATTTGCGCAACTTGGAGTAGTTGTTATTTAACGTACCGTCAAGGCATACTAATAGCTCTGTTAGAGGTAAAGCCGCGGATTCTTCCTTTTTTATTCTACGTCTACTGCAGAGTGTCCAATGCGGGCTGCGCCCATAGCAACGTTTTTTGATTAGAATCTAAAAATATGGCCCTTAGCAAACACATTGCCTCCGAGATTTGCAAGTACGATGCGGGATGATGTTTTTTATTGTCCGACATCTTGGGCACTCGGTAGTCTTTATGAACACAGTGCTTATATACGCGCTTTTCTGTAGCATGCAGCTATAATTTTGGAAACAATATGCATTAAAACTACTGAATAATTAAGTTCCACTTGTGTTGTAGAAAAATCTTGGAGTTCATGTTGTCTTTTGCTTTTCTCCACTAGGGAGCTATAACTCTTTGCATATTACAGTTTCAGACAGTCTTGCTTAACATCTCTCCACGCTTAGGCACTTGTTTCACTTCATGGAGGAAGGTTCATTCTCCATGTTTAACTCTATAGCATAGTTTGTGCTACAAAGATGGCGGCTCCCATAGGCGTCAGTTAGTGTGTCTCATTGTTAAACTCGTCCTGTAATTTTTGCTTTTGTGAGTAATCTAACTCTGATGTATTGCTCACACTCTCATACAATATTTGGTTATTGCTGTGCCTCACCGCTAGATCACTTCGATTTGTTATTCTCTTGTTCTACCCTCAGAATGAATCCGCCAGAGATGGGAACGACTAGGACTGGGCGCCTTCGCAAGTTGGCGGCGAAGTTTTCGAACCTTTCACGTCCTGATGGGTCCGCGATATTGGCACAAGGTATAATCTGAAGTGCCCGTAACTAGGCCTACTGTGTCACTGTCACTTTTTCCCCTCACATTGTGTGTTGGTTTCAACAGGAGAGACTGTCGTTCAAGCAGGCGTCTATGGGCCTGTCGAGGTAAAGCAAATGCGCGAGCTTCCCGAGAAGGCCACAGTGGAAGTATTTTTTCGCTCTAAATCGGGACAGCAGAGTAAGTCACTTGTGTTGTTGGCTCCGTCAATTTCAAAGTAGCTTGTTTAGTGCCTGTAGCCTGTGTCCTCTTGCATGAACACTCATGAGTAAAGTGACCTTTTATAATCGGTGCTTTCGATAATGCAATAACGACGCTTCGAAATAACGTGTGGCGCTACTAAATATACAACGGATCAATAAAACAATAATCACCTGTTATTGCATGTGGACGACGTATCTGCATTGATCTGCTCCTTCATCTATTACCCGTTTTGTAGCGCCGTTTTAGTATCTTCTTTCCTATTGCCCTATTGAAGTAATTCGTTCCATTATGTGATATGTTGTTGAATAATGCAGGTTGTTCAGATCGTATGTCTGAAAAAGTCATTCGAAGCACGCTGGAGACTGCATTGCTGACAGCCCTGCATCCACGGTCTTGCATTTCACTAACATGTCAAGAGTTTCACAACAACGGTGGTGTATCCTTTTTGTTTGTTTGTTTGTTTTGTTCTGCAGTTGACTGAATGTTGCCTTCATTTATAAGGACTTGATAAATGCTGGCAGGGTGATGGAAATGGAAGTGCTGTCCTTAATTTGAAATGCAATTAACTATAGTTTCGTTGATGAATCATTGATCTGCCTCACAGTGTAATTAAACCAGAATTGTTGCTCAAGTATTATTTAGCTGACTGCTTGTGAAATGGCATGCAAAAAGTTTTAAGTTCATTTGAGCCACGTAGAAACTGACATTGAAGCTTACACATGAAACTTTGAATCAAGCTAACTATGTGCGTTTGCTCAAAGTACTGCTATCATTAAGTACTTGCTTGCTGCATTCATGTAAGGATACCAAAGGAAATTTGATATTTATTGATGTCGCCACAGCCTGGGAACATTCATGTGACTAGTTGGTTAGTATGCAATCCAGTAAGATTCATTTCGCCGTTATTGGAGGGCAGAATGCAATTTTTACCCTTTCATTTTTTTTTTCCTTTCATGATCAGATGTTTGTATACTGTGCCACTGTGTGTAGTGATCCTCATATTCTGTTAAACGCTAAGGAAGCTTATAGAAATCCCCCAGGTCTACTTTCTGCTTTGCTTAATTATTTCTTTAGACATTGTCATGAATTCAGTGCGCAATGTGATGGTATAGTGGTCAAAACAGCTGAAACGCTGAGCACCATTTATCTAATTCTCTCACTTACATGCAACTAAAGAACTGTGTGGCCGCATACTATCGCACACCCGATGAAAAAGTCTTTACACATCCTGCTTTTTGTTGCTGTATCTATATGCAGTTCTGGCCTTGTGCAGTCTGAATCATGCTTATTTAGAGTGATTAAGCGTGTGGCTTTGAAAGCGGTCACCATTCATAGCTCCACCTTGCATTACCTACAAGCTTCTGTTCGTGCTTGTATATGTAAGATCCTCACATGCAGTTTGACTATATTAAATATGATTACAGTGTCCATCTTAACATACCTTTCCAAAACCAACGGCGGCTGCAGCAACTGTCTGGCCACTGTAGACAAATGTGATTAAGACTGCACATATTTAAGGAATGATTGTTTTTCCTAACTCCTTCGAACTACTATTCATCTCGGCTGTTGCCTATTTGCTTTGCCTTAACTCTAAAGCCCCTCACAGCTCCTGGCCTGTGCAATAAATGCTGCCTGCCTGGCAGCCATCGATGCTGCAGTCAGTATGAAATGCCACATAGCAGCTGTCACAGCAGCAATGACCAACACCGGGATTATTCTTCTGGACCCCGATGGGCAGCAGGAGCTGGTGAGCTTGTTTTTGTGGTTTTCAGCAGCTGTCGCATAATGTACTGTCACAGTATGTATTGGGCAGCAAGCAACTGTACATCTGGTAGCACACTTATCCGCATGTGCCGACAACTTAAACAGACATAGTTGACCCCCTGTTCTTGGGAATACTGTTTTAAAAAAGCAGCAACAAACTCATTATAGCATTCGCGGAAGTTTTTCAACTGTGCAGAGTTTTTCTCCCTCATCAAATAGATCTTGTGGTCTGTGACTGGACGTGGCCAAAAATATTGCATATATTTCAGAAGTACAATACTGTTTTGATCATGCCTGAACCTAAAGGAACTATGTACTACAGTGTACAGAAAATTAGAGGGACCATAAGGCAGCTGTAAATATTGTAAAAGGATTAAGTTACTATTCTGGAATACTATTATCATTTGTTTGCGTGGCCAAAGGGAACACTGATATGCAAAGGGAGCACTGCATAATAAACTTTGCTAGAAATTCGGCCAATTCTGCAAAGCTGTAAATATGAGGCCGGAAACCTTCATTTTTTTGTTGTCCACTGCATTCTCTGCGCAGGAAGCAAGAGCCGTGTGCACGTTCTCCTTTGAAAGCCAGGATTCTAAGCTGGTTTCAACCTACACTAGTGGCCAGTTCTCCAAGGAAGAGTTCCAGAAATGTCTAGCTCTGTGTCAAGCAGCTGCGGGCGACATATTTGCCTTTTACCAAGATGCACTGCAAAAGCGCTATTGCCCATCACTTTCAGCGGATAGTGACAGTGATGACGATTAAAGCTCCATGCTCTTCTTGCATTACTTATAGCTCACGTACTTCCGTTCTGTGTACAGCCGAGCTATAAAGTTATCTTTCTGCCATGTCGAGAGAAGCACAGTAGCTTGGAGAGGTGATGTTAAATATTCAGAAAGTAAACATACGAGGTGTCGCATCAAATGAGCGATGAAGCTTCAACAAAGTCCACATAATGCCTAGCAGGTGTGTAACCGGCACGGGGATGCCCTGACCCCTCCACCTCAAATTTCTAATAGAGGGAGTGTTTTACCAAAAAAATGGCAGCATATCCACGAGGTGAATGATGGAGAGTAGGGCGAGGCATCCGTCTGTTCATTCGTTTTGTCTGTCTGTGTGACCGTCCGTGCGTCCATCCGCCTGTTTGTGCGTCCACACGTCCATCCATGCGTTCGTCCATGCATCCGCCCCTGCGTCCATCCGTCCGCGCAGCCATCCATGCATCCGTCCGTGCATCTGTCTGTATGTCCGTTCGTCCACCTAGTCAACACTCCAAGTACCACCATCTCGCATCATATTTTCCGCATATAGAAGCACCGCCATCCAGCAGAAATTCCAAGGACTAAACGAGAGGTGGCACACGCACTTTCTTACGGCTTGCGCTTCGTGTCTACTTCCCACCTTTAACCACCTCGAGTTCATGGTATATACTAGTTCACTGATTTTCATGGCACTGCGGCCCAACACTCGCTAAACCTTTCTAAAACCAAGTAGGTTACGCCCAGTGAGTATAACTTAGCAACCCTTTCTTGTCAGATAGCGCTCAATGTACATGCCAATGGCTGCTAATTGGGAATGAGAGACAGGAGAATTTGGATTTTAGTTCAACGTGCACGCTGCGAATTTTTTATTGTTCAACAACGCACAGGAGAAATCTCCCACCGACACCACCTTGCAGGTCAAAGCGCAAGACTGGTTACACACTACGACTACAATGAGTGACGAACGGGTGCCGCTTTAAGGAGCTTCGCCCCTAAAACAGGTGGTTTGCAGAAATAGTCTAGGCCTTCAGCAAGCGACCCCTCCTAGCTCCCCCCCCCCCCCCCCCCCCAAAAAAATTCCTGGCTGCATTTGATAGCAGGTGTCTCTCTTCTACACTGAATAATAGTGTAGAGAGTGATTCCGGACTTCATTAAAATTACTTAGCCTAAAAAGTGTATAACAGGCTCTATAAATGCCGTTCTTCCGGGTTTCGCTGCGCTCATGATGGCCTGGCATTTCTTTCTCGCTGATCCGAATCTCGTGTTCTAGTAATTCCTGCTCTATGCTGAACACTTCAACTGCCACTTCATTCAGCATTTTTTTTTTTTCAGGAACTGCTGATATTTTCTAGACCCCAATCACCAACGTAATGAAACCACATAGATGACAGGCAGTCGATCGAAAAACACGAGCTTTTTTTCACAATTACTCATTTTTTATTTTCGCCTGCTTTGATAAGATTAGTACCTCTACTATTATGAAAAGAATAATACAGGTCGAGACCTCACTGGAAATGCTTTAAAATTGCATCTATAGAGCACAAGGTGCCTATTAAAGGTCGAAAGTGTGCAGTCTTCGAGCACCTTGCCGCTGATAATGCGCCGCAGCTCGCCATTGTTGATCGCATGAGTCGAAGATTCGAGCCTCACTCATCCAATACCAACTGTTTCGCTCGCTAATGCAACGCAAGAAATAATAAAAAAAGCACTCTTCTGCGTGTTTTTCGAGTGCCGCGACTGGCTTATCACATGGTACGAATCGGGGACCGCCATTGGCCTCTGCGCGCCTGTATGTGCTGTGAAACCTATTTGCAGGGTCCATGTCTTGTCGAGCAGCGCAGCTGAACAATGCTTTTCTCATGTAATTATCTCCATTATGAATGAAAAAAAGCATCACTTAGCAAGTGAAAGCCGTTGTGCAGCGCGCTCTGTAGGAATAGGCTACGAGCAGCTGGTCCGATTTGCGGGGCAGTTGTTGGCTTGCAAAAGCCAATGCATCAAAAGTTGTTCACACCCGTCAGCCGGAAAGTTCTTGATGCGGCAATGGACGACGTCAGCGCCAATCTTGAGAGGTCGAAAGAGCTCGCAGTGAGAGAACTTAGCAGGGACGACATTGCCATTATGTACGACGGTATCTTGCACAAGCATGGCTGCAAAACGGCATGACACTTGACTTGTTTGGATTTCGCAGTCCTGTCGAACTTCTTCCTAGCTTGCAGTTGACACAAGGCTCTTCCAGATGGAGCCGAAGTTTGGCAAGCGTTTCTTGGCCCTGTCTGTGAGCGAAATGTCTGTAAGGAGTTGGCTCGAAAAAGCCGAGAGGGACAAACTCATGGTGCTGGCGTATTTTAGTCGCAATGACCACTACAAGAAGATTGTGCCTTTTGGTGTGCAAACTTCATCTGATTTAATGATATCTTTCATAAATAAAAACTCAATTTTAACTTAAGAGCTCGTTTTTCTCAAAACACAGATTTTGCCATTTTTTTCCTAATGTGCCTCTCCTTTTTGGGACACTTCTAGTGCTCAGATCTACATGAAATTTCGCCCAAATTTTTTCCAAAGTATGACAAATGCAATTATCTAGTTTAAATTTCAATATTTTATTGTATAATAAAAAATTGTATGTATACCTTTACTAGGGTAGGTGAAATATGAACTTTTTACGTCTATTATTTTTCACGCGTATTACATATTTTGTAGGTGCTTCCTAATTAGTTATTTCCACTCTACACTTTATTTGAAGCATTATGAGCTATGAATGGTAAAAAATTACCGAAGTTTAGGGATGAAAAGAGAGGGGCAAAAGGGCCAAGGTTTTCACTTTGTCATGTTGCAGAGCTAAAAGTGTGTAAGTTGCAAGAAAACTAATTATATTTGTAATCAGCATAAAAAGTTCCATAAACAGCTCAAGTTTCATTGCTCTAGGGTGAATACTTAAAAACAAGTGTCTTCGAGTAGCATCTCCCCTTAAATACTGGTTCCCAGCATGAAGCCCATTTTCTAAATTTGGCACTTGCAGCAAAACTGAAAAGATAGGCTAGCAGCTCCAGTTTCGCACCGCAGGAGCACTTATAGAGAGCCTAAGCTTACTTACAGCAGGGTAAAAGCTAAAAAACTTGTCAGATCAGCGTGCATGCAATAAGATCTTTTTCTGTTAGAAAAATGGACTGGAGTGAAGACTGGTCGTAGTTACAAAAGACGAGTCTCTTTAAACACACACACTGTAGGCCAAGCAGCTTTACACAAAAGCAGCCTTTATTGGTGTCTCATGTAAGCCTATCGTAGAATTTTCCTATACATGGCCGAAAGACGAAGGGACCAGCTCAGAACTCGGGGCGGTCAGGCTTTGGCAAGGAGCTGTAATCTTTAGTGGAATAAAACTGCAAAGCAAACAGAGTAAAATGCAATCAGTTTATGAAAATCGCAAAAGTACTCAATATATAACAATATAATTGTGTGATGTTCCAGTTAACACACACCACAAGCCCAAACATATCCTTCAAGATCTTTTGAAATCTTTTTAATGCCACAGCAGTTACTCAGTTCTAAACTGATGTTTAACGTAAAATGAAAGACTCAATGTTACAACTTTGGGTGCTATTTTATAGCAATTATTTTTTTTTCCCGTGTCTGTCTTAGCCATTAGTCATGATGCCACATAGGCAGGCCATCACTATGACCAATTACGAAGTGAAAAACCTGTGAGAGACATCGCTAAAATAATCCCATCCAGACGGGGGGTATTGGCATCCCCAGATGCCTCTTGCTGCTTTTGATAAATCAGTTCCTGAAAGACTTGCTCTGCATTACAGCTACAATAAAAACACAAAAACTGCCCTCTTGTACAGTCAAAAGCCTACCATAGAAACCAATGTGATCAAACTGCTCACTGCCATTGTCAGAGAGACAGACATGTACATTGCTCCTACATAGCATTTCATATAATGTAGCACAGCCAACACTGTTTGTACCAAACACATTTTAGTTTAGCAGTAGCTGAAATTGTCTACATAAATGGCCCTTCAGCATACCTTGTATTGCTTGTCTTTGAACTCCTGCCAAGGCTCTGTGTTCTTCTTGTTCCAGCTGCAAAATTGAAGATATCAACGACACCCCCCAGCTCTGCAAGACATGCTTCATTAAAATGGATGGAAAAATGACAATGAACTGTCTCTGCTCACAAGTTCAAATAAAAGGGTCACGTCATCATTCCTATAGCAAGAAAATGTTGCACATTTCAAACAAATGAACATTAAAATCAGAGATGTTAATAATGAAACACTTCCATGGCCTCCACAGCACTGTAAAGGAGTTTCAGTCACGACCTTTTACTCTGGCTACAGCTGTCAGAAGAAACATGCAGAGTGTTCATTTGTTAATTTTATTTTTTGTGTAAAAAGGCACTAAACTGAAGTGCTAAATGAGATTAGAGTAATAATATATTGTTTAGGCATGATATTGTCAGCAACTGTGTCAGCAACTGTGTAAGAAGAAACAAAGGTCATTGTTTGATTCTTTCATGTCATCCCAAAATCATCACTTGGTTGTCTGCCTGACGTCACAAATTTTAGCATACATAACTTGCAAGTTATGTCACACCATGGAACACTGGGACACCGTATCTGCATGAGCGCCGCTATCATCGAGCATATGGAAGCAGCCACTGAGCTAAGGGGATCTCATTTCCGGCCGTATGACGCAATGACCAATTGTGTAATATTTGTCTGCTGACCGAGAAGTGTAAACCAGATAAAAAAATACCAGAAACGGGAACATACTTCTCACCCAAGGTGATCACAAAACCGTGTGATCACGCAAAAGAGCTGTCCCGAGAAGCAGAGCACACTGCTTATGCGTGCATAAACAAGGAGGACTTCAACACATTGAACAGAGTTGTGTGGGCATGATTTCGTAAGCAAGTTTTGTCTTTGAATCTCCTGTGAAGCTGTTTCACCCATTACGTGTGATGCCATGAGCTCGGACACTGCAGACACAGAGGATTCGAGTTCAATGGTCTGCTTCGCTGCATGATGTCCTGAACAAAAATTCTTCGTCATAAGTGAAAGGTGAACGACGAAACATGCTCAGAATGCCAAACGATTCACCGCACGGCATGGTAAACACAGCATGGTCACCGAGACATATGAGCTCGGTAATGGCAGACGCAAGACAGGAACTCGCGTCACTTGCAAGTTATATATACTGTAGCCACATCAGCTCAATGAAATTTTGTAGAACTTGCCATGCCAAATCTGCGGCTTCGTTGGGATAAAACGTAAGATAACTAGGCCAGTCTTTCAAACTAGAAGGTAACCAGGCAAGCTCTTGTAGGAACTCCCAAGGCAGCAAAATTACCTGTTATCTTTTTCTTGGGGAGTTGTAAGCATCTCCTACCGAAAGTTGTGCCTTATATATATTGTGAAATGTTGATTCGTTAGTACGAGTGAATAATAACCCACTTTAGTGTCCTTTTATGAGCAACATCGTCACACAAGAATTCGCTACATGTAGTCTGCAAATCCTGTTCCACCTAACAACGATCAAACTACATAGTTTTGATACCAGATTGAGCATATTATGGCCAACTTCAATATCAAGGTAATGTATTTTCTTTTTCACAACTTGCATAGTTGCTGTGTGATTGCTTCGGCACCTAGAACCGAGTTGTAGTTGCTACAACCTTCAAATCATGCGTTGATACTTCTTTCAGTTGCTCCACTGCACAGTGCACAAGTTTATCGAATGTCCATTGCACTGCGGTACACACATGCACACAGTTAACAGGAGCATTAATAAAAAAAAATATATTCAAAGAATGTTGAGCACATCTTGCAGGCAATGCGCATCAAATTTGGTTGTGGCACTCAAAGAGTATCAGAGAAGGCAGCTGTGTGTGTGCTGCGAGCACAAGCACCCAGTACCGTTTTTTCTATTATTGTTTCTGCTGGCAATAACAGTTTGTATCAGGCCAGTTTACGAAGTGGCTCTGCTTAAGTGTTGTGTTTGCGAAGTGAACTACTTTGATGAAAGTTGTGAAATACATATATGTGTACACAATGTAAACTTGCCAGCGCACTAAACTGTGCACCGGGGTTCTTATTTTTTTCTTTTATCCTCTTAGGAAATGTTGCACAACGAAGCTGGAAAGAGCGACACTTGAAGGCAAGCTAAACTTGGGAACACCTCCCCACCATTTGCCACCACGGTGACGACTTGCTGTGACGTTGAACCATCTTTCAGAGTACTTTCTATTAATGATGTCCAGCTCACCTATTCGTATTGATGGTTGCATACTACAGTTACCTGACATCCGGGTTCCTCAGAGCAAGGCGGGCTGTGTAGAAGACCGCTCCCGCCATTCCAACGCCGACGATTGCGACCAATGGAATGAGCTGCAGTCAATCAATGCACAAATTTCATCACTGACCACTACTCTCTAAAACTCGGGCAGCAAGTAGAAAGCATGAGGCAGTAAACTTGTCTAGAAACAGCACTCGTCCTTCAAAATGAACGCGACAGCAATGGTTTCTGTAAATCAGATTTTCTTCGCCCACTCGGTAATACCTCATTTTGCACAAGTTACGCAGAATGAAGCATATTGAGAGCTACTTAAAAGCCAGTTAACAAGTGAAATCCAAGTTACGTTAACTACGCATCAGCTCTTTGAAGTCGGTTCGCTGTAACGGCATACTCCACACGCAACGCATGGTATCGCTGGTATAGGTGCGGTGCATCACACGTGCTTATTAAATTTAATAAACTGACCCGAATGATTAGTACTTACAATCACGTCGGCTGAACCTTTACATGTCTCAAACTATGCTACGGTGAGTAGTTTCGATGGAGCATTTAGGGTTAAAATGCACGAAGGACAGCTAGGACATCATAGAAAAACGCTTCATTCTCAGACGAATACAAGCGTCACGTACGAATTTTCCAACTTACAGACGGGTGCCTCTTCATTCCCTGAATCGAAAAACTCCTCATGGTGAACAATAAGTTACAAGGACCTCTTTGTCCTCTAAAGTAAGTCGGTGAACGTGAAAAAGTGAAACACGGGGAGCTACACCGTGCTAACTGTTGCAACTGCGGAGAGCCGCAAGAAGAGGTGAAGCCAAATCAGGCCCAAAACTGAAGCCAAAGCACATATAAAAAGTCAAAGCCAGCCAGGTGTTCTGTGGCCAGCCGGCCAGCAGGAGCATGACCTACTACACTCCTGACCTGTTCAGATAGCGGGGTTCCTATGGGAGCGCGTGTCCCCGCTCTCGTTCAATCGCTCGCCGTAGGTGGCGCTACCTATAACCTGTTCGTCTGCTTCTTTACGGTTGTTTTGTAGGCGCTGGTATAAGAATGCCTGCTTTCTGTGGTGAACTGTCGGCATATATGTGACTATTTCTTCCCATACATTGCTGGTCAAGTAAGCTGTTCAGTGCGCTTAAGAATTTATAGCACACTGGTTGACAAACGTGGAAACCCGTGGATTTACATGATTTTGGACAGCCTATGCGTTGTCGCGTGCATTTTATTGCAAAAAAAATTCTGAATGTCTTTTAGTATTATTATTTCTGGATATTTCTAAATTGTGGATCATAAATTCGCACTACGAGTGCTTTGTTGGTTAAAATTTGACTACAAAGAGTGAAGGTGACGTCAGCGAACAGGTGCTGCCTAGCGCCACGCCGCTCGTAGGTGACGGCCCTAGCGGCAGAAGGTATGAACTAGAACGTGGGCGCTGGAAGAGGTGCTCTCTGGGCAGGTCAGGAGTGTAGTAGGTCATGAGCAGGAGCCCGTCGATCCCGCGCATACGCATGTGACATGCCGCTCGCATGCCGATGTAACGTTGGCCGATGAAACGAAAGTGTTCTTTCATGAAACCATAGATTTGAAACCAACAATTCAAGTTGTTTAGATGTTCTGCGGCGATTGTATCGATGCCCTTGCCTTCAGGATATAGATGCTTTTTGCAACACGGACTTCGCATGGCAGGACTAGCTGCGCGTTTTCTACCGTGACATTCGAGCTTATTTACTGCGCTTTTCGCTTTTTTTAAGCACAGCAGACATCCTAGTTAGCTGAAGGTATCGCCTCTGAGACTTTGACGCCGGTGACGCGTCTCGCGCAAGTAGAAATTCTTTTCATGCGTGCTTTAAAGAAGCGTTCACAGGCACTGTATCAGCGCTCCCACAGCCTTCCCTCAACTCTCCTTCGTTCCAGCCCGTGCACCCCACAAGGGCTGCTCAGATAGCGTCTTTTTTTTTCCCGTACACTCGACATATATGGTCGAAACGAAACCAACTGCCTGAACGCATGAATCTGTGCTTACGAAAAACATGACTCCCAGTTGTCACGTTCGCAAGGTCGTCTACCCGAGAATATATTTATTCGGAGACTCCTTGACGCAGGTGAGCAGCTTGGCTGCGCATATTTGTGTATACATATAGGTTGTCAATTTCGTTTTTTCTTTCCTCCTCCTTTTTTCTTTTTTAATTCTGCAGCGGTCTCACTCTGACGAAGGCTGCTGGGGTTCCCTCGTGGCCGAAGCGTTTGAAAGGTATTTCGTTCGTTGTACCAATTTTTTAAAATCCTGCTGCAGCACAAACAAAAGCCTCTCACTCGTGCCTTGTAAAGCTTTACTCATTTATTTCAAGGTATTTCGTGCCGTACATTCATACAGTGCTTCAGAGCTCAGTCGCTGTCGCTATAGTTCTGCATGCCTGGACCAGTGGTTCTCCTGCAGGCGGTGCGATGTTGTGGTGCGAGGTTTCTCTGGCTACAACACACGCATGTGTAAGTATGTCCTGCCCAGAATTTTCGGTCCCGAGGATGCAGCAAGCGTGGCAGGCATTTGTCATTTTCCTTGGAGCAAATGACTGTAGCGAGCCCACAGACCACGGAGCTCAGAATGTCCCTTTGAAGGAGTTCACATCGAATCTCGAAGAAATGCTACAGCATCTGAAGGTAGGCATTGAATTCACTATGCATAGATAGAAAGGAACTTTGATGGCAGTTTGTATTAATTGAAACAGTCGATGTTATTGTGTGTGACTCTAAGCTGTTGTGTTCATTGAGACATCGCTTCAGTAGTGCATGTAAAATTCAGTGCTATCAAATAGATCCCACGAAGACCGTGTTGCCAGTCGTGTTGGTCATCTATCTTGGTCACAGCTTAGAAGCACAACCACATGAATTAACCACAGTGAACTTGCAAAGACAACCAAGAAACACCAGCTGCTTGTGTATTTTGTGTAGTCACTTGCGACTAAAAGCCTCCTTTTCAGCACGGTCACTTTATAGAGCATGTTGCAGTAGACGAAAAGTTCTAAAATGTATATTCTGTTGTTGAAAGTTCACAGCATGTTCAAGAAATACTATAACTCCCATTCAGGTTAGCGGTGTGCCCATGAGCAAAGTCATCCTTATGACACCTCCTCCTTACTGCGACGAAAAATGGGTGGCTTGGTGCAAAAAAACTGGTAAGCGAATTGGTGACGACCAGTCATTTTTCACGATTTGCACTTTGCACACATGCGGCTTGACATTTTTATGTAGCAAATATTTTAATTTTGCCTCCAAATATTCAAATTTTCATTCATCATTGTTGTTATATTGAAAGTTACGTAGGCTTATCGGAAGTTCTGCCTTGAAGGACCCAGAGGCAGTGCCAGGATTTTTTTACTGGGAGTCATCAACGATAAACGAGTTCCTTCAGAGGAGCTAGGAGGTGGGAAAACTCGGGCGTTTTCCTTTAACTGTGTTTGTCTTAGGAGTGCAAAGAGGGGGCAAGTGATAATTTCAGGGGCGCTCCAGCTCCCCTGTTCCCCCCCCTGGAAGGACACCTCAAAGAGCAATTTTTCTAATCTGTTCGTTAGTGGAGGAGTTGAAATAAATTGGACTGGCATGTTATTTTGCCACCATGAAGGCAGCATGATAGCAGATCAACTGTCAGCAGACTCTTATTATTCGCAAGGGGCATACCTTCCCCAAGTCTTTTGGTGTGTCATGTTCTGTGACGATCTGAGCCCTCCATTTTCGCACTACAGTGCCATCTCTTACTTTGCAGGCGTGATCACCCACCAAGCAGCATACACGCTACACTAGCTACCCAGTGTTCATACCTGGCATGCTGTGTTAGTCTACAAAGCTATGACCCTGAAAATGTAGGCAGTCGCAAATACAGGAACATACTCACTTAAATATAATTGTGCTCAAATTGGCAAATCTGCATGAAATGGGATTCAGTAATTTTATAAGTGACTTGCTCTAATACCAGCTTGCACTAACATTTCCGACTGCCACAGTTCAATCACCTTTTTAATGCTAACCAGCAACTCCAGTTTTTTTCATGGCATTCTGGGCCCCTGTGCAGTTGTCATGATTCAGGTAGTTAGTGTACGAGCTGCTTGACCAATGAGGATATATGTATAAGCAGTGAACAGTTGATGTCTGCAAGGAAACCATTTTTGTTTTTTGACAGGCAGGGATCTGGCCAGGCGCAACTTAGAGACGGTCTCCAGATATGTGGACGCAGTTTCTAAAGTTGGTGAAGAGCAACATGTCAAAGTCATTAACGTCTTCGCTGCATTCAAACAAGAACAGGTGAAGGCCATCATACAAGATATATGGTAGTTTCACGCATAGGGTTAAAAGGTTATTTGTGCTCGTCTCAACATATTGCTAGCAGCACGAAACATGCTGCCTTGACTGCATGTTGATATGAAGTACAATGAATTTGCTCCTATATTACAGAGCATTTCTCATCTTGACTTACCTGAATTCCTTGTTCCATAAGGACAAACTAGCTCAGTTAAAGTTTCCACATTTGAAATGAACCTACCCAAGCATGGTTCATCCAACTGAACCACTTGCAATATGATTCAAGTCATTGGGCTGGTACGACACTCTCAGCAATGGAACTGTGTTAAAAGAAGCACATATGCACATAAGTATCGTCGCTGTGTCCATGTATTTGTGCTGCTCCAGGTGCACAACTGAGGTGCCCTGAAAGGTTGCTTTTATTACTTCCTCAGCTAACCTCTTATGCTCGAGTCCATGCAAGAAAATAAATATGCACTTAAAGCCTTCCTAAGAATTAAGAAAACTTTTATGCTGCCATATTTTTCCCACTGATAAAGAATGTATCTTTTTCCCTAGTAGTTATCTTTTACAACTACAAAGAGTATGTTGCAGGAGTTTCCTGGGAGTAAAAAACAAAGCCATCAAATGAAATAACGCTTCATCCTGCAAGTCTGAGGTCAAGCTTTTACCTACGAAACAACCTTTTTAATGTATTTTCAGCGCAATTTTACTAATGGTTCACTGTTTAATAAGTGTCCAGATGAAAATGTAAAGACTTCGTCGTCAATGCTCCCTGGAACTTGCATTAAAGTGTAACGTCTGAGGAAATCCAGTCTAGCTTTGGTAGCCAAGGAATTGGATAAGTACAGACATTCTGGCCCTCATCTATGCACTTTTGTTGAGAACCATGTGTAATAATATTTGTGTGCACAGTTGAACTCGCTTATAACAGTACTCAAGTGCCACCAAAATGTCATTGTTATAACTGATATGAATCGATTTGATTGATATGTGGGGTTTAACGTCCCAAAACCACCATATGGTTATGAGAGACGCCTATAACTGATACGAAAGAAAAGCAATATAGGGTAATGGCAGGCTGTTGTGAGAAAACTACAGGTTTTCCCACTCACTTTAATCCATGTGCCAGCTTAAATAATCCACACGCCACTGAAATAATCTGAGCACCAAGCTATTTCATTCATGTGCCATATATTTAATTCAAGTGCCAACTCCATTAGGCTGCATATCAGTGAGTTTAATCCAAGTGCCACCATGTTTAGTCCAATTGCCAACTGCTTTATTTCAGGTGCCAGTCAGTTCGAATGCATGCACCAGAACACATGGTTTGTCACTTTGTACAGTCTAATTGTCGGACTTATGTTAACATGAAGCGACAGGAAGAACTTATCGTTTGCCTATACATGCTAGCGCTTATGAAATGAGGTGCAGTGCTATACCGTTTTGGTGTCATAGCTTCAAATTAAAAAAAAAGAACAGTGCGTATTGCATTTAAGAGTACTTAATGTATTTGCTCATAGAGTTCATGTAAGTCTATATGCTTCATTGCTACTGCATTATTCCGGCTAATCTTCTACACCATCGCATATGCAGAGACTCGTGTGTCTGCTCAGCAGGCAGAATTTGGCTGCCGATTCGCTGAGGCGTTCGCAATGGTCTGCTCAGCCCAGTGAGAATGATGGTGACCGACAGATCATGTTCTTCCGTTATTGAAATCAGAAATTCTAAACTTGCATTCATAAAACTAAACTTGCATTCATTTGGGTTTATGTGCAATGAAGTTTTTTATAAATGCATCAAAGGAGATACTGCTGTTTTCATGTAACAGACGACGCTAGTGTTGCTGAAGCGTTTTTACTTGAAACACAAGTGTTTCATAGGATACACATAATTTTATTTTAATAAAAACATAACAGCTAATATGAATGTAAAATATGACTTCCGTTGTCCACATCAGGATTATGGGTTTATGTCCTATGTACACTGCAGGAAGAAACCCTCTTAAAATTATCTGCAATTCTCTCTGTGCCTTTGAGGGCCTCCTAATTTCTTGATTATGTACCTGCTTTTGACCCATCGCTGCCCACGACCAGGCTTTCCATATCTTGGTATGCATTTCGGCACTCCAATAACCATTGTCTGTCCTTCGCATTGCATGAGCTGTCCAAGTCATGTAGTGCTATACAAATCCAATTATGAGCTTTAGTGACGAGCACAAAATATTCATTAACATGGTCCTGCTTTTTATTTCGTTGCCATTAAAATTATTTCACCCTGGCCAAGCACTCATATACAAACTTGTAGATAGAAAAGTACCAACACTGCTCGTGCGAAAAATGGCAGTACATTACTTCACAAATACCAGCGACTAATACAGATAATAATGATTTATTCTACTTTGCGACTATTATCTTATATATTGTAGGAACTGCATTTCAATTGTACTGCCATAATTATGTCTTGTATCATGCTTGTTGTGCATGGATTAAAGTGACTGGCACCTGAATTAAGGCCATAGGCAATTGGATTAAACATGGTGGCACTTGGATTAAACTCACTGGAACGCGGTCTACTTGAGTTTGGCACATGGATTAAATAGATTGTCGCTCCAATTATTTCAATGACATGCGAATTATTTAAGCTGGCACTTGGGTTAAAGTGAGCGGGAAAACCTGTAGCAAAATATTGAACGAAATGTGCCAAACAGACATTGGTGACAAGGATGCATATGCTGCTGTTTTTTCAGACGCTTGAAAATTGGGATGCTTTCACAGGACCGCCACAAGTTCTGTATAGCCAGTGTACGACAACGTCTGAGGTTACGGATCCCAAAACATTTCAAACTTTTTACTCAAATTACATGTCTTAACAGAAGCCACTGCCACTCTACGCTGTAGCAGATTTCAAAAGTCAACTTTGCCAAATGGCACTACATTATGCGGTCAAGCATACCGCAAATCTGAAGGGGCGCTGCATTACGTCGTTAAAGGATTTTGCCTTTCATTACTGCTGTGCACAGACACACAGCAGGATTCATTATTATAACTGATAATGCCGAATGCAGGCATTGCTATAAGCTGGTTATTTCACCCTAGAAAGCATAAAAGTTGATGGTGCAGCAGTTTTTTATTTTATAAATGGTATATTGTTAAAATGGATATTTCAATAAGTGGGATCGATTGTATAAGTGCTTCACACAATGCAACTCTAGAAAAATTGGTTCCAAGCATCATGTTGTGTATCGCAGCTGGATGGAAGAAAGGTGCCAGGTGAATTTGTTGTAGCCAGTTTTCACAGATCACTCATTAACCTGGGTGACCCTTTTATATTCCAACAAATACAATCTGTCTAGCCAATTGTTCAATTAATAACGAAGATCTTGCATTTCACTGTGTTTATCTAGAACTGGCAGCGGTTGCTCCTAGATGGCCTACACCTGTCAAAGCCTGGCTCGCAGAAGCTTGCAAGATGTTTGGTGCCTTTACTTGAGCAAGCTGTTGGTCCCATTCCTGCAATATTTCCCGACTGGAAATGCATAGACCCCGCAAATCCAGAAAGTAGCATAGCTTCCTGGACTCCAGACAGGTGATCGCTGTGGTGTGCATTTATACTAGGCAACCTAAGTTCAAGTCTGCAGAAAAAAATATTGCCAACATATCTCAATGCTGTTTGTAGGACATTAAAGTGTTACTTGCTTACCTAATTTCCCAGATTTTTGTTTCATCTTTAATAAATAAAATTATGCGATTTCACCCGCGGTAAAGGGAAGAGACGTGAAATTTTTATGATACCCATTTTCTTTACTGCAACTGAAAAATTACTGGTTTGTGCCTGATTATGGAATGGCGATAACATAATATGGCATGAAACTTTTATATTATGAATATTTTATTATGTAGAGACTATGAATTTGTGTACATGCGGCACATGCTGCGAATAGTTGATCAGCATGAGAGTGGCTCGCGTTTGTGTGTGGCAGTTAACTGCGCATGTGTTCACTCTCGGCGCATGTGCCATGGCTCGACATTTTACTAGATGTCACGAAGGCAGCACCGTATCTCAGCATACAACTCCTTTTGCCTCCTCTCATAAGAAGCACAGAATAGAGCAGGGATAACATGTATTCTAATGTTGAGCGTTAATACACATGGAAGAATCGCACTACTTGTAGCAAAATGAACTCGTCTACTAGACTGCGAAATATACCCCCCCTTTTTTTGTGTGAATTTGAAATGCAATTAAAAAAAATGAATACTTACATCATGAAAAGGATTTGAATGTGTCACTACGATTCAAGATCTCTTAATTTGAACCAAGATGTAATCACACTTTCTGGCCAGTCGTTGGTCCCTATAAACTAATAACAGCCCTACAGGCTACAACTGTTCACTAATGAACTGATGTGTCAAATTATTACTAGTGTGTAGTTACAAATAAATTGAAACTTCCTAGTGTAAATACTGTACCTGTGAAAGAACTAATGCAGAAGTAAACTTCTTGCAGTTACTAATTGCAGCACTGCATTTGAAACCCCTGTGTTCAAATGGCACAACCAGTCATTGGGTGACTGCCTCATTCAAAGAAAGTCAATTCATGTAATTGCTCTGAAACAAACATTTTATTACAAAACAAAAGAGAACAATCTTCTCAAAAAAACTTTTCTTCCTACTAAATACCATATGTCCACTTTAACTATACAATATACACACACTTTCCCCAAACTCAGTTTTTAAAAACTATTGGCAAGTAAATGCAAAAAAAAAGTGTGTCTGGCGAATACAAAATAAAAGTTGCAGGCTTTAATAGAGCTGCAACAGAGGCATGATCCAAATGTAAACAAGAAGCACATTTGAATCTCTCAGATTTCAAAAGTGTAGAGCAAGAGAAAATTGACCAATCTCTTTACAAGGAATGCTGAAGACATTGCCAAGAAAGAGAGGTCACATATCTTGGCAAGATAAGATTCTTAGAATGAAAACCCAGAAGAGTCCGTGGATTGCAACAGAAACATGTGCTCAGCAAGGAGACCGAGTCCCTGCAGTTGAAGCACGGCGACTCCGAACACATACCTGAAGTGGGCTTACGTGGAGACAAAATAGTAACAACATTGGGAAAGTTGGCATCTAAGAGAAGGCTGCACCTAACCCATGTTAATTTCTAGACCTTGTTTCTAATGCTGTTTCCTTATGTGAAATTGCAGCAATAGGCTCATACTTAACACTCAAATAAAAAAGGGGGGGCGAGGGGAGGGGCAGTACTCCAGTATGTGACTGTTGTGTGATGGTAAAAGTATCCAACTAATGCCTCCTCCTAAAGACTACAGCTAGTGTTCTCAGACTCATTCAGTTCATTGAATTTTTTCAATTCTACTACAAAAGCACTGCTTCCGTTACCACAGCCTACACAGTCTGCCCTTTCTTGAACCTTACCAGAGACCTCGTACAGAGGCAACTAAGCTTGCACTAATTGGAAATACTGGGACCTGCCATAAAATGACATTAAAACCTTCTGCTGTGTTTGTAAGCCATTCTAGCCCGTGGCACTCATTTGTCAGGTGAGACAAAAGCATGTACAACTGTCGCTGACATAATTAGAGCTAAAAGATATTGCGTTAATATTAGGTCAAGTGCAAAAGTACACTTCGGCATTAATCGACAAACACTACGGTGCTTACTCTAGATTTGACTGTATGTTGTTGCAAGATACAGCTTGACTAAGACTCTTCAATACCCAGCTGAGTGTGTATATGCCAGAGCGTAACTCTTTTCCACACCACAACTATTCAGTAAAAAGACATTTTTCTTGAAGCTGACGTGCTGGTTACTATGTGCAAGCATTTGCACAACTTTTTCACAGGAAATTCATAAGATGTTAGTTTTTCTGTTCCATCCACACATTAGGCTCATTTGTGCAACCTAACAGAACAGAGCTGATAGGACACTCATAGTTCAATTGTTATTGAAAGTACGCATGTAACAAAAATTTTAGGAAAAGGAAAATAGACAACTACCTCTTTGTGGTAGGAAGCCACAAAAAACTCGTTCTGGCTTCATGCCACAAACGGTCGGTTGAGTCTTTTCCCTTTCTGAACCTTTATACCACCTTGTGGGTCTCTGCAGAACTCATTTGAATCAACAAGGGTTCTGGTAGCACATGGAAACGTCACTATAAATAGGCTGATTTTTCACAAAGGCAATTGTACACTCTATATGACCAGAAGGAACAAACACGGTCTAGATAGACTCGCTGAAACTTTTTGAGCAGCTTCAAAAAGCAATAATGCAAAATGACACAACTCATCACAGTGACAGAAACGACACACACAGAAAAAGGGAGAGAGAGACATGAGTAAGGCATCGTGAGAGGTATGTGCCTGACGCCTATATGTCTGTTCCTTTTGTATCTATTTTGCCACATTAGTAGTGCACAAAAACAAGCAGTTGTTACAGAACCTACATACCCACTCCTGCATGCATGTAACCTGGGGATGCGAACACTGCCTGTGTCAAAGTGTAGGTGCATAAGCAAATTATGTGCAGCTGTTTTAGAAATTGGTGGTGGATGAAAAGACAGTTCGCCACATGAAAAAGATCACAAGGTTGCGACAAAAGCAAAATACATTGCATCAACGAAACACAAACTCATGCGTAAGATGGGCAAGTTTTTTTGCTCTTCACTTGAAAAATACACATACCCAGAAAAAAAAGCTTGTGATACTCTGCCAGCTTGAAAAATTTAGGGGTTTCATCGGAATTGTCATGTTCAGTTATAATTGTGCCACGCCATTACCAAACACCAACATTTACACCTTTTTCTTCGGACTTGGCAAGTATAATAGCGCATCTAACACTAACAATAAAATCCAAGCATGTAGTATGCCATGTGTCAGGAGCGTACAGCTGTTTGCCGAGTGTTATGAAATTGAGCAAAAAAACTACACATTTCCACACAGCTTTGAGCACCTGGCAATGCTCTCTCTCACCTATTTGAAGTTCTAAAACTGCCTTTTGTAACCCATGTTGCACAGGCAGTGTAGGTTAAATTGGATATTGCAAACTACACTTTGCTGGTGTTGCATCCACAGAACCAGCATGCAGTAAGCATAAGTGAAACCAAATAGACCTGACCGGTTGTACATAAGAGCTCCTAGGATCCTTCCTTTGCACAGTTTATTTATCAGTACCAGTGTCTTAACTGAAACTACGAGGAAACGGCAGTAATATTTAACCGCTTTGAAGAAAATCTGATAATTAAATTCTACAGATGGGAATTAAGAAGGCCACCACTCTGCCAATCAAGAGTACAACCTAGGTAGCCAAGCACATTGCTATTAAGCTTGTGCACTTGGCTAAAATTGCTGATGTAATTAGGGCCATCCTCGTAACAAAGGTATCTGAGTGTCCCCACAGTTCACAATGGGCCTGTTTAGTAACGGTCCCCTTCTTTTTGTCACCTATGCCTTGTCACGAATGCCACCAAAGATTGCACACTAGTGCCAATGACAATCGTGTCCAGTGGCCTAGAGCATTGAGATATGGCAAGCAATTTTTACTTATAGGCTAGTCACCAAGAATAAAGAATGGACATACAAACTATAAAAAAAATGAAGTGACATTAAAAATTCTTGCTCCACGTCACCACCCACAATGCAATGTTCATTTGTATATCTCCACTGTGCAAAAAAATAAGGCCCGTCTAATCATGCAAATCGTTGAATTCAAAGAACTCTGAGAGCATGTTACGAAGGCTGGCAACAGCACTAGAGAAAGTGGGTGACAAAAATGAATGAGCCGGCCTGACAGCAATGATCTGGCATTATTATTCCACTAGAGCGTGATTATTCTCACAGTATAACTATGTTACTGCCTCACGAGTATTTCTAGCACTGCCAAAGTGTTCTTGAATGACCTGCATCATACAATATGTACTATAGAGCAATCACCGTGGAATAAAGTAAGACACACAAGAAATGAGAGTTATAGTGTGAGAAGGCTTTGGTGTCAATGTGCATGTGTGGGTGCATGTATGTGTAGAGGGGAGCTAGGAATGTCAGAAAATATAAGAGGAGAGAAGGAAGGGAGAAGGGTGGCTTGTCACGTGACACGAGCTCCTCCACCCAGTAGAAGGTAAGGATCCACTTCGGGGTCTTTTTGAAGCCGGTAACGGTAAGCCACAAATACAGCCACCAACTAACAAGGAGAGGAGAAGAAAAGACAGTGACATGATGACAGAACCACCACACGCACACACATATACAGACAGATCAAGCAAGCTCACTCAAGAAAGTAACTCTCCCTCCAAAAAAATTATTAAAAGAAAAGGCTCCCCAAAGATCACACATTACAATGTCTGCTGCTTGTACAATGTTGCAGTTTTTATAACATGCACTACGTTTTTTTAATCAACGGTTTTCTGAACACAGCAGATAACATTATCTTTATTATTTATCCAACAGTCACAGCAAGTGCTAGTATTAAAAACTGCAATAACCTCCAAAAAATCACCAGTTCAGAACACTTTCACTTTTTCAACAGCTTTGGCTATGCCTATTTCAAATTACTGTCAGCATTCAAGATATGTTGACTACTATTAAACATCAGTTTTGAGTTGACAGTTACCAACCTGGTCGTATTACAATATCGAGAAACTTCACAGGGGAGTTAGGAGGTATTGAGAAAGGGAAAGTTGTGGTTTAACTCCAACCACCTGAAGTACTGTATGGGCAGCTATGCCTAACAGTAAATGCACAACCAAAACAGTCATTGCACTCAAATTTTGTCAAGGCTTGACTGAATGTGTTAATGGCCTCTTAGAGAGACAATAACAGTCTTTGTTTTCCTTGCATCTTTTCTTACTTTGCAACTCTGTATTTGTCTCAGCTCTTCGTTCCATGTTCTTCTTTATGTGAGGGGCAGCGAACCGGAAGTTCCAATTTCAGTTAGCCTGCCTGCCTTCTCCTCATTTGTATTTCCCTCTGTACCTAAATATGCAAACTTTCTGAATTTTGTCTACTCGCAACTAAGTGCTGCAACCAGGAGTCAAGCTTAAATGATCTCATAATCACTACCCGAATTTCAGTGCCATTCAATCACCACAACCAGGAGTATTTACTTGCATCTTTTCTGTAAAGCATTCCACTGACTATTTAAATGATTGATTTTAATGCCAAACAGAAATACATATCACGAGTAATATGCTGCAATAGGATTGATTGATTGATTTGTGGGGTTTAACGTCCCTAAACCACCATATGATTATGAGAGACGCCGTAGTGGAGGGTTCCGGAAATTTTGACCACCTGGGGTTCTTTAATGTGCACCCAAATCTGAGTACACGGGCCTACAACATTTCCGCCTCCATCGGAAATGCAGCCGCCACAGCCGGGATTTGATCCCGCGACCTGCGGGTCAGCAGCCGAGTACCTTAGCCACTAGACCACCGTGGCGGGGCCGCAATAGGAGGCCTTTAAAATAATTTTATTGACCAGAGGTTTATAAACGTCCTCCAATAGCTTATTACGAATGAGGCCAGTGCAGTGAGAAGCTGAAACTCTTTAGGGCAATGTAAACCAAAAGCTACATTTGGTCGTTGATTCATTTTCACAGAGACCATTCTGAATTGACACACGAATGTGAGCCAAGAAGCAAGGCCATGCTCACATTAAAATCATGATAAATGAAATGCTTAAAAAATTCTTAGAATAAAAAAACTTTGACAATAGGAAGGAAAAGGCAGCAATGGATACACACTTGCCCTGCTTCTCACGGTTCCCAAGTCTCATGGCATTGTTACAAGCAACGTGTTTGTTGCATGGTCTTGCAACCATGCTGCAAATGCATTTTTGCAATTAGCAATGTGCATTTGCATGTTTATTAGTGGAGAACTCTTCATGTACACACACAAACCATCTGTGCAAGCATGCATTTTGTGGTAATCTGAGTGCTTTGATGGAGACAGCACTTGAAGATTGGTGCTGCTGCAGAATATTGCATGCAATGACTTTTGTACAATACAGAGACAGTTCAGTGCAACTGCCTTCAATCACCCGCAATATACAAGAAAGTTAGCTTTTCTTTCCCTCATACTCTTTACCAAGTACTTCACCACTGAATACTGCAAGCAGGCAGACATTATACAACTCCTGGTGGAAATACTTGTAAATGGCAAATGCAATCAGCAACATCTTGTCAATGTTGCATCAGAAACAAACTGACGTTTGATCTGAGTAAGCACAAATACAGCACGCACTGACAAAATCTCAGCTCTTCAAACAGAAGATAAGTGTTTTAAGAAGGATAGTGCGAAAAGAACAGTGGATATTATAAACAATGAGTGCCACTGCACCGAGGAAAACATGCTCATCATAAGCTGGCCAAGTTGAAGAGGTGCTGCGGTAGTATTACCTAGATAGAAGGGATTACTTTCATGCCAAGACTACTAACTAGAGAGAAATCTGGCATTTAGTCTGCAAGCAATACTAGGGCAACTGCCTTGGCCTAAACTTTGTCCAGGCATTAAACAATATTTTATTGTTATTACAGCTTACTTTTTGCCACACATCGACTGCATGACAACATACCAATTACTTTAACGTGACTTGTTCAGTTTTCTATGGCTTCACAGTTTGCAGGACACTATGAACCACAACTGCTTAGAATTGAATAAACGATAGCGCACAGCAAGTGTTTTTCAAAAAAGTCAAGCATCATCGGAAATTAGCTCTGAATTCATCGGAATTACCTCTGGGTGAAATGAATTGCTCACACTTTTAAATTTACATAATCCCATTTTTTACAGTGAAATAAAGGCATTTAAAACTGATTCAAAGAAACATGAGGCCAGCGTACAACACATTCTGGACAAAAAGGCTGTGATGGAAAGTACAATCTAAGTACTTTCTAAACAAGGCTTTGCCAAACTTCATAAAAATGTATTTACGCAAGCCTTGCAATACACAATGACAGGAGAAATGCAACGCTATATTTCCCTGTAGTAATGTTCTTACAAAACACCACGCGACACTAGTCAGTAATGCAGAGATGGGAAGGGGGATGCAGCACAGCGAGGCCTGAGCTTGCGTACCTCGTGGCACCAGAGAGAGCCCCCTCGCAAAAGAGCCATTTCAAGAAGCCACTGGAGAGTGGGTGTTAGTGGTTACAGAAAGGCGCTAGGGTTAGCACGAGGATCCTTCTGGTTGCGGTACCGCACCGTCAACCACACCCCGATGAACTGCAGGCAGGCCAGGTGGGAAAGGGCAAGACCAAGGAAGAGAGAGAGGAGGGTTAGTTGAGGCACGTGTGGTCAGCAAGTTATATGATAACTAGACTGGATTACTCTGTTCCTCTTTTTTTCCATTTCAATTGGGTGCGGAAGCTTAGCATGATGTACCATTATAAGCACGAACAATCTCTTTTATAACACTTGAACACCTTCATTAGAGATATGGGCTAGGGAGCAGTCCTTGTTAGGCTTGTGTGAATAGAGAACTTTAGGTTCGAAGCAGTGATTTTTTAAAAATAATATTAAATTTGAATGGTATATATTACATACTATAAAGAAAAATCAGCACATTTGTCATGACCCAGCTAACCTGCACAATATTCACTTTTTTAATTCAAACAAGGCATCTGCAAATGTCATTTCTTTTCTTTAAAAGGAAGTGGAAGCAACTTTGAATAGTAGCAGGACTTGAATTTCGGTAAAAAGCAAATGATAACCAGCAAAATATGTTACATTTTAAATTCACTATACTTAGAGCATTAAGTCCGGCATAACAAGCTTGTGAACCTAAAAAATGTGACTTATCCCTCTCTCTCGAAATCGGCAAAACACAAAAGTGAGGTGTGTCTTCACAAAGGAAGTTGGCGTTTATTGTGCAAGGTTTCACCACAAAGGCAAAGGAATGACTGCTACAGCATCGAATCGTAATGTCATGCCAAGAGTGGCAAGCAACTTCAAACTTCCAGCGGGCCCCTCAAGCAGAAAGCACGCAACAAATCAGCATACACAGGACGAGCGCAAACTAACAACTGTTACAGCTTGGCACTTAAAGCATGCTGCTCAAACAGAAAGTAAGGCATATGAAACGAATACACAGGTATAAACAGAATGAGTGCGAACAACGGTCACAATTTTTACTTCTTCGGGTGTGAGCAGCGCGCTCCTTTCGTAAATGAGGCCGCGGCAGTGAGCGAAGCGACCTTCATGCTCTCTTTAACCACTGCAACTTCAAAGAAAACTTTTAGTATAAACACAAGAGGTACAGAGTGCCTGAACCACGAGATAAGCGACTGCAACGCACGCCCTACGCACCATTTCGCAGCTCATGATAAAAATGCGCTGAAGTTGCTAAGCTCCAAGGACCGCCAATGGTATATGATGTGTATAAATGGCTCGCCATGAACAATTTGGACGTGCACTACATGGCCTAATCGTTTGGCTATGTGCGCTGCGGAGCGAGCGGACATGGGTTCATTGCTCAGCCATGGAACTTTTTTTAGGTTTGCAATCTGTTAGTGTATATATTACGTCATATCCATGACGGAAATATGCCAGTGGAGCCTTGGTGGACTCCGGCATGAAACACTTTCGTGTTAAAAAGAAAGAATCGATGTGAGGGTAATATGTTCATCAAACCCTTGTTTATTTGGTCATAATTAGCTGCAACCTGGTTAACTTGGCTGGTCCTGGGAGTGCACCATGTACAAAGCGCCCCATATGAAACAAAACGGCACTCAAGAACAAACGAAACAACTGAGAATTTTCAAAAAAGCATGGTCACCACAGACAACCTAACTACAACAAGTGCATTGCTGGCTAGCAGTTTTTGTGAAATCTCCCTGCTGGCAACTGAAAGTTCAGCCCCTGTAGCAAAGATGTTTCCTTTTCAATTTTACTTGGCATATGTGTACTTTGTGTGTGCTATATGATCAAGTCAATAGTATCTGCGCTCAAGGTTCCACAAGCAGTACTTAAATTTCCACCGTGTGCCTCAAGAACTACACAGTCACCATCCATGACTGTGCATTAGTAAGCCAGGTTTATGTATCAATAGATGCGATGCTCAAGATTTTCGTTTTGCCTCTGGGCATAGGCAGGCCTTCAAAAGTGCACGGACACTATGACAGTGCATTTAGGGAACATGGTTCCATCCATAGCAGATGCGGCACTCAGTAGCTTTGTTTTCACTTCGGACAAAGCGCACTTCAATATCACAGGACTCAAACATGGCAGAAGCTGTTGAAGGTGAAGAGCTTTATCTGTGGTCTACATGCTGAATTAAAACTTATTTCCTGCATAGCGATAGGTGAACAATCATTTGCAGGCCATTTTTAAGGTGATGAAGTTATTGTCAGTACACATGGTAGTGCTGATAGTGGCAGTACATAATAGAGGGTCAATACGTGTAACAGAGCATCGCCGTCACTGTAGTTTTACCGTGGACCGATGTCAGCACGCGAACTTGCTCGCCCCCTTCTTCTCGACGGTTGTTGTGCCAGGCATGTCGAAGTAAAGAGGCGTCTGATCGGCATTCCCGATTTGCCCAAGCAGGTAGTCGTTGTTTGCGCCGCAAGTTTAGGACGAACCTCTGAAAACTGTGAAGCTTTTCATCGTACTCCTCCGCAAAACTTTTCGCATATGCCCGTTCACCTTCGGAGGGAAAAGCCTTTCCTCTTCATAAAGTTAGTTAGCCAGCACCTGCTCGCTTTAAACTGGCTCCGCATTAGACCTTTTTCTAAGACTAATTGCATAGCCCGCACTTGAGCAGTTCTGGCCGTCACGGGCCGCTGTGCTGCTCGCTGCTAAAGCACATACTCGCCGAGCAGCTCTTTAATTTGCGGAAACCGACCCTGCTGTGGTCCACTGAAGCCTTTGCGTAAAGCTTTGCTGTCGAAATCTTCTGCTTTTGTTTTCCGCCGGTCCCGCACGCACGTTTTGGGAACTCCGAACGACCGCGATGCGGCCGCGATTTCCGTCCGTTTCTGCACACGCGATGACTTTTCTTTTAAAAAGCGGCATCGTGGTGCACTCGAGTTTTTGGAGTCGGCCATTCCACGCCGTCGATGCTAATGCACTACTAGATGACGAACTCCTCAGCACACGTACGAAGTGCCGCACATGAGAAACACATAGGCAGAAATGGACGACGCGCCATGCCGACGCACGTAGGGGGCGGCCATTTTAGATTTGTCGATGGCAATAGATTGGCCGCAATTTTTTTGTTCGTACTCGATTGTAACGCGCATGCGATTTATGAACTCGCTTAACCGGAAAAAAGGTGCGCGTTAGATTCGAGTAATTACGGTAACTACAACAAGTGCATTGCTGGCGAGCAGTTTTTGTGAAATCTCCCTGCTGGTAATTGAAAGTTCAGCCCCTGTAGCAAACATGTTTCCTTTTCAATTTTACTTGGCATATGTGTACTTTGTGTGCGCTATATGATCAAGTCAATAGCATCTGCGCTCAAGGTTCCACAAGAAGTACTTTAATTTCAACCGCGTGCCTTAAGAACTACACAGTCACCATCCATGACTGTGCATTAGTAAGCCAGATTTTTGTATCAGTAGATGCGATGCTCAAGATTTTCGTTCTGACTTTGGGCGTAGGCAGGCCTTCAAAAGTGCACTGCACGGACACTATGACCGTGCATATAAGGAACATGGTTCCATCCATAGCAGATGCGACACTCAGTAGCTTTGTTTTCACTTCAGACAAAGCGCACTTCAATGTCACAGAACTCAAACATGGCAGAAACTGTTGAAGGTGAAGAGCTTTATCTGTAGTCTACATGCTGAGTTTAAACTTATTTCCTGCATAGCGATAGATGAACAAACATTTGCAGGCCATTTTTTAGATGAGGAAGTTATTGTCAGTTCACATGATAGTACTGATAGTGGCAGTACATCATAAAAGGTCAACTCAGAATACGTTTCGACTCTGGACATGGTGGTCTTGGGCCGTGTTAAAATTGTGAACGAAGTCGCGAATGTCAAAAACTGCGGCTTTTACACTGCTCTTCTGCAAAACAGGCAATGTATTGACATAGTGATCAAGACATTACATTATAAACTTAGGTTATTACTAGGTGATTGCCCCATAACTGATTGGATATCTGATTAGTTAAGTGATCATTTACAGTTTGTTGAAGTTGATGGCCAGTCGTGTGGTACTGCCGAAGTGCTATCCGGTGTTCTACAAGCTTGTGTCCTAGCCCCAGTTCTTTTTTTAATATTCATCAACGACCTACCTCCCAATATAGATGTCAACATCAGATTATTTGCAGATGACTGTATTATCTATATAGTGATTGACAAGCATGAAGATCAACTAGGTCTTGACTATGCTTTACCAACAGTAACGAAATGGTGCTCCAAATGGCAAATGACATTAAATACGAAAAAATCAACCCTACTCATTGTCTCGAGGAAAAATAATAAATTGTTATACCTGTACAAAATTAAAGACACTGTATTAAGTGCCATCAATGAATATAAATACCTGGGGTTAACTATATCTGAGGAGCTTAGACAGACTAATCAGATAAAAAACATAACAGCGACCGCGCGAAAACAACTCTTTTTCATCCGATGCCGCCTTAAATTAGCACCTATAGATACCAAACTCCTGGCTTATAGCGCATTGATCTGACCAATACTAAAATACACAAACTGCATATGGTTTCCTTTTTCTAAAGAAGACATCTCTAAACTTGGAGGCATACAGAGAAAGGCAATAAGGCACATTTTAGCAAAAAAAAAATGCGGCCCGATGTTTCAGCTACTCTGTTGATGGAAAGTGCTAGTATACATTCCCTCCACTGCCGAGCTAAACTAGCTAGACTTAAATTCATGCACTGTACTTACTTATTCATAATAAAGCGAATATTGATGTCACTCACCTCATAACAAGTTTACAAACACAACCTATAAAACATAAACACACTCAGATGCTCAAGGAATACACCTTTTATACAGACTATTTCAAAAAAAAATTTTTTTTTTCCATTGGCCATAAGAGAATGAAATACAGTTAAACCTCATTATAACGAAATTGAAGGGTCGCCGCTATTTGCTCGCTATAACCAATATTTCGTTATAGCCGTAGCGGGCATTTACCGCAAATATTATGCACTGTACGTACCCCCAAAAAATAGCGGGCGAAATAGCATCCCGCCGCACGGTGGTATGCAACAAAAGAACCGCATTCCCAAATGAAAAGGAAAAAGTCAT